ACCGCCACGTACCAAACGGACCAACCCGGTACCTTCCCTTTCTTCTCTCTCCTCCTCTCCTCCTCTCTCTCTCTCGTTCCCTTCTTCCTTTATTTACTAAGCTTATTTTATCGAGGCACGTGGAGATCACCGTTCACACGGTGTTCACGTTTACTCCGTTCAGTTATTTATATTCTTCCTAGGGATATCTGACATCCATTCACTTCTTCATTCATAAGCAACGAAGCCTGTCGGTATTTTCCTCCAGCGATAACGGCCGCGCTGTGATAAAAATATGTAATGCGTAGTTTGGAGAACGTTTGGCGAACGGCAAAAGCACAGTACAGCCGATTGACCTCGAACATCTTGCGAATCGAGTTTTTTTAACTGTTACCTGATTTACGCATTGAATAGTTTGAGAAAATGGAAATTACGAAATTTCATAAATACGCAAAAGAATGTAAGAATTTGAAGACATTGCGTAAATTATTGCCAAATGATTTAGAATTATATTGTGTGAAGTAATTCCTTATGTTCTAATTGGATGTGCTAATTTTGAGCTTTCTCCTCCAAGAATTCCAACCGCGAAATTCGCGAAATGCGCAAGCGAAGCATGGACGACCACCAATTAATCAATTAATCAATCCTTGGCGAGTCCACTACGCAATTACGATGACACGCAGATTGCGTGTTGGATCCAACTTGGAGCATGCGTGCATCAGTATAATTACGTAATTCCCAACAGTAAACCGAAGCCTATGCCTATGTACGCAGGTACATTTCAGCTGCGCTGAAAGCGTGAATTAATTGGATAAAATTCGCAGAAAGATGTGGAAAGAGTATGAAGGAAGAGTTTACTTCTAAATCTAGTTACCTCCATTTTTTATCCTTTTTCTGATTCTGAAGGAGTCAAAGTACTTAAATCACAAAGCGTGGATTGATCAAATAACTCACAAGGATTTAGAAAGAGTATGAGGAATCAGTGAAGAATCGAATTTTATTTTTGAATCCGGTCACAACAGTTGTTTTTTTTCTTCTGTCCTTTGGATTTCCGACTCCAAAGAAGTCAAAGCATGACATGAAGCGTAAATTAATCGGATGGTTCGTAGAAATTTGGAAAAAGGAAAAAGGACGGAAGCTTTATCTTTTTGAATCCAGCGATACCATGAGTCTTCTTTCGTTATTGGAACTTTTGATTCCAAGAGGTCAAAGTATCATATTTTATTGCATCCTAATGGGCTAGATAAATGACTCTCCGTAAAGCTGAGATCTTTCGATTTACTTTTTCCAAAAACGATCGAGTCTCCGAATATCGGTGTATCTTCAAAGGACGCTGTCATACTATTTCATACATATAAGGAATTTTTAAAGAATACTTCATTATAATAGAGAAACAAATATACCAGGCCATATGCTGTGAAACTATAGTACCTTACTTCTTATTCCAAATAGACAATCTCCATTGAGATAGAAAAATTTCCATAAAAAAAGAAAAAAAAACATACGATACAGTACTCGTGTACTCGGGGAAACAGAAAGGAAAAAGAGAAGACCATCCCTTTGCCTCTCCGTACACATTCTATTTCAAAAATTCAGTTTAAAAACATAACTTCGAATACTCCACAATCCTTTTTATTACTTTGTAGCTTATTTTTTTCTTCTTCCTCTTCATCCTCCTTGTCTTCTTCCTTCTTTCTTTCTCTCTCTCACTCTCTCACGTTTCTTCAATCTTTTTTTTTTTTTAAGTATTAATAGATTAGTTTAATATATAAGTCGAGCCGTGGACCCGGCGTGCGCCGCCGGTCGAATTAGATTCATACACTGTAACAGTCGTATTCTTTACAATATTCGTACGTAAGTCTTGTAGCAGAGACAAAAGCGCAGGTGCCCTAATCGCACTCATTTTTATTTTATTCTTTATAATAATTATTCGTATGCTCGCCTAAGACCTCTGGTGCTGCCAACGAACACGGAGACCATGTCGCGGAGGGAATCTGTTATGACTATCCAGACTTCTTGTTACTCTCCCTCTTTCATCGTGATGTGTACTCTTTTACGTTCTCAACCAGACGGTATAAAAATTTGAGAAAAGTCTAACAACGTCTATAGCACCGGGATATCCAACATCGATCGTGCCCTCGATCTTTATCTCTTCTCTAAATCGAGAGGCAAAGGAATCGAGTCTTCGACCGAGATGACGGATGAACGAGATGATCCTCGAGGATCAAACGCGATGGATATCCCGACTCTTCAGTACGTCTAGACACCTCGCATTGTTCGGAATTCTTGGTCCGACGTGTGTCCGTGCGTTGGTAACGCCAGAGGTACGCGAAGGTCCAATATAGCGAAGTACAATTTGTTTGATCCTCTCCAAGTCTCGTCGTGAGCACTAGCACACCGAAGCTACGCAATGAGATCCGGCATTTTTTTAAGTCCCCGAACAGTGTGGTAAGTGTATAAAATTGCTGCAGGACACCTGGGTTACTATAAGAAACACCTCCGGGTGCGCCGTCGACCCCGGGAGGCGGACGGCGGCCCGGGCCTTCCTTCCACCGAGAGACAGTCAGGCACGCCTGGCTTCTGAACGTTAATACACAATTGTCGCTGCTGGTAAAACCACGGAAGCTCGCGAACGCGATCCGCCTTCCTTTGGGCTTGCAGAGACCCGCCGTCCGGCTTCCGGATGATCGAATTGATACTGCGTATCGCGCGCTGAGGCTACTTGGCGTAAACGTGGTCAGGACTTTCATTTCAAAAAAGTATTCGGGAATCTAATCACGTCTTATCCTAATTGCGTTGTGCTGTGTGTACTCGCGTTGCGTTTTTTTTTTTTTCTTATTCTTCATGAACACTGACGCGCCACGATCGAACGGATCGCGGCTCTTATTAACATAATTTCGTCGTGTTTGCTAGGCGCGCTCGCATTCTCCTCTTCCTTTTCGTTTAAGAAACAATGTCGCTTTGTACTCGCGTCAAGCGTAAAGTGGTCGCGTCCCTTCTGCATGCGGCAGGGAACAGCTTTATTTTTCTTTCTTTTCTCCCCGATCAGTCAATTTCCTTTTCTTCGATCGCATCTATAAAAATTTTGTTCCTACAACTTATGAGTTAGGAAAAACAAAAAAAAAAAGAGTATTCAATCTCGGCATGTACTCTATACACATGAAAAATATAATTTTTTTTCTCGTGGAAATACAAAGGAGAATCGTATCATCGGAATTAGTCACCAGCAACGACCAGAGTATAAGCTAGCTTTTTACAGTACAAAATACAGCTCCTGCACATATGCATAAATATATGTATACACATATGTGCATATATATATATACATATAGCTAGTAACGAAGTATTTTCAGCAACATGTAAGGATATAGTAAGGTTGGTACACTTCCTCCTGTGGCCTCCACTTTTATCGCAGGCCCACTAACAATCCGGCGACAATATGAACAATATGAGTCTATAGTCTTGTCATTAACAATTATGATTGTACGTACAAAATGTGTCAACTTTTGTGTACAGATCACCGTGTTTATATGTATATATACACATATATCGATGTAGCGACCATTTCGGACGTATCTTACTGATATTAATCGCAACGTATCTCTTTTTTTTTTACGTTCAGAAAAAATCGAAGAAAACGCACGAGTTTTCTTTTTCTCTCTTTCGCCCTACTTCGTCGAAGTACGAGGATGTGATTATAATTGCATATAAACCTGTAAACACTGACAATCCTATAGCTATATTTCCCTTGGTTCGTACCTAATACGAAACTAGACGAGTCGTATATATAAAAAGAAAGAAAAAAAAAAAACGCAAAATCGATATAACAGCTCGGGTGAGATCCTCATTACATCCTTACACATTAAAAATTAGCGTTACTACATCTTATTTTTATGCATCCAGGGCCGGCATGTGTATCTCGCATATTTTTTTTCCTTTTGCCCGCGTTCGCTTCCGAATCCTTTTTTCTTTCTTTCTTTCTTTCTTTCTTTCCTTTCTTCCTTCCTTCATTTGTCGATTCATGAGTGTCGGCTAGAGAGTTCGAGAGGGAGGACCGGAGAATACAAGATGCGTGGATGCGAAAAGTGATACGACGTGAATCTGTGCCTTATGACTTGTTCATGAATCGTGTCAATATGGCGAAGACGTTCCTCTCTGTTAACATGCCGCCGAATGGCGATATCTATCTTTTTTTTTTATTGTTAATCATATCAGTCGTTTGATAAAATTTACTTGATTCGTACAAATGCGAGAGCCGTCTAGACAGCGCGTGGATGGAATCTTGCGCGTTAAGCTAGCCCCAGGTTATACGCGATTCGCGCCATTTCTAGCTTGCAATTCACTATTTATATAGTGTTTCAATGAAATCAAAAGCCGTGAATCACGAATCGCGCAAAATCTAGCGTTAGTTTCACATATTTGAAACCGCGCAAGATCGCCAACCACGCGCCGAATCTTGCGAGGCTACATATGAACTTCTCGAAAATCCAGACATCTTGCATTAGAAAACAATGCACGTACAAGACAATTTGAAAGTCAGGGGGACAAAGGACTCATGTCTCTACTCTAATTTAAGAGAATGTTTATAATATTATTACATACGTGTGTATGTCGCGTGACACGTGTTGTGTATCAATGTCTTTATGTGGTGTAGGTGTATCATATACGTGTAAATATAAACTTGTTGCCAAATTTTTCGTACAATGAACTTTATGCTCATTCACACGTAGTCCCAAGTATGCGCTTATGAAGGGCATTGGTGTGTAACAGCAATAAAAACTTAAAGACATCATTAAGAAAAAAAATTCCTTGCGAAGAGAACAACGGTGGGCAAAGAGGGGAAGGAGATTAGGAATAGGGGCGAGGAGGGCCTTTGAGGGATGGGCTAGCCTCCAGGAGTTGGGAGCATGGAGAGATGGAAATCCGAACGATTACGATGATTATGATGACACGATGGCAACGCCGCCAGCGACATCGAACGCGTCATATGCAATATGACAATCAACGATGACATTGACATCAATGGCGACGACGACACGCGTCCTCTGTGAATTGTACGCGTCAACGAGATATACGTTAACGACTTACGTCCGTACATCCCTATCTAGCTACAATCCCCGGTAGTGGCGCGCGCGACGGTAAACGGGTTGTCGTTATCGTTAAGCGAGCGGCACGGATTCCGGTTAGGATCTCCTACTTCCTGTCATCCTGATCGCATTCACGGCTTATGTGACCAGTCTTGCCACAAATGTAGCAAGTCTTGCCACCAGCCTCGGTACAGTTGCGAGCGATGTGGCCGGTCTTGTTGCAATTGTAGCAGCTTTGCATTGCGAAACGTCCAGAATCATTGCCACCCTCCGGACAGCTGCGCGCCATATGACCAGTCTTGTTGCAATTGTAACAACTCAGCTCCGGCCCCTATTGAAAAAGAAAAATATAGCATTGTGTCAATCGATATCCTCGCAGTCCTGTCCAATCGAAAATCTCTGATTGTAATGATCTCTAAGATTCTGATGCTATGTATGCTACTGTGCTGTACATACACTAACCTGTTGACAGTCTTTCGCTATATGACCGACACCGTTGCAGCGATAGCAGAGATCCTGATCCTCCTTGCATTCACGTGCAAAGTGTCCAAATTGATTGCATTTGAAGCACTTCTCTCGACCACGTCCAAAGCCGCCGTCTCGGTCGCGTCCGCGATCACCTCTGCCTCCACCACCACCTTGTGGACACTCCCGTGCAAAGTGGCCCATACGATTACATTTATAACAGGCGCTCGAACTCATTTTTATTTCTGGGCTGAAGTGGTTCACACAAACCTGCAATTATATCACACGTTACGATCAATTGAGACGGAGGATCATCTCTATTAATTCTTTTGTCTTTAAAAATCTGTATAACACATAACATTGTTAAGCAATATGACAATCTCTTATATCACATGGTCATTTATTCACAACATTTGCATTATCTATTCAATATAATTACGCTACATTAGCTATCTTCATAAATAAAATATACGTTTTCTCGTCGTTTTGTGACAAGTTTCTCGCGTTGGCGAACATCAGAAAAAATAGGAAAAACATCTTAGTCAGCGTGCGGCCCGTCAGAATAATTTCGTCGGGAGAGAAAAAAACCAGAGAGAGAAATCGCGTAGGATTTCGAGTGTCTTCCAGCACGGCCGGCAAAAATTCGCCGTGTCCAACGCGCGTCGCACACAGATGTCTCCTAAGGCGCACACGAGCGAGTAAGCGCGCGCGCGCGCGCGCGCGAACGGGCTCAAAGACCGCGGGAGGAAAACGGTGATATGGTAGGTGAATGTGCATTTTTGCTCACAAGGACCGTAGCGAGGGAAGCTCAGGCGTAGGAGGAAGCGCCGATCGGAGCAGGCCGTCAGCGCGGGTTGGAAACGGGTTGAAGCGAATCGTCGCATGGCGCCGGCCGGAGATCACCGAAGCGATCGAAGTGGCGGCGGCGCGCGCGGTCACCCGCGCGCTCCGCCAAATGCGGGACATTAATAAAAGATGGCATCTGTCCCGCGTCGCATCGGCCACGGGCGCGGAATCGCGGCGGAACGCGCACGTGTGGCACTCCGCGCTTCCTCTGCAATGGCGGACGGACGGACGACCGAGAGCGCGGGCACGAGGTCGTCCGTCAACGGCGATGGGGACGAGCCCCGGGGAGGGAACCCGTCGCCGCGATCGTCGTTCGCGAACAACAGAAATACAATGGACGTATTGAGCCGATCGTTTAGGATTTCTCTTTACCGTACCCTCTTACTCGACGACGGAACTCCGGCCTCGCGATGCGCCGTACAACGTGGCTGGCTCGATCTACTCGCGCTCTCTCTCTTTCCGTGCTCACCCCCACCTTGTCCCGCCGATATGCGTACGGCGTACGTACGTACGTATGTTCGTACGTGCGATCGTACCGTACGTACGCGGTCTGCTTTTTGCACCTGAACTAATGTACACTTAAAATGAGATAAATATATATATTTGAGATTTAACAAAAGCGAGATAGAAAGTTTTAGTATAACCTAGTGCAGGAGCGGAAAATAAACGTACGAACGACCGTATGCACGCATGCACGTACGCCGCGCGGCACGGCGCGAAGATGGCATCCGAGAGCGACGCCGCGCGCGCTGCATTTTTTTGCGCCACGCACGGAGGAAAGATCGCCCGATGGCGACGACAACGACGACGATGATGACGGTGACGGTGACGACGATGGCGATAGCGGTCCTCATCTAAAATGATAACGACGGCGCGGACGCTGCCCTCGTCACCGCGCGTCCCTCGTAATCGCCGCTGAGAATCTTTGTCTTTTTTCTCTCTCTGTTGTCAGGCGACTCGCTTCGGATTTTCCAACGAAAAGCACGAGTCGAATTTATTATCCGGGCTAAATCGTGTCGCGCGATGAAGACGACGGCTCACGCGGAACCACGTGCCGACTTCGCGTCGGCACTGTTCGTCACCGTCGCGAGAGCGGTTCCAGCATAGAATCGAGCGTGCGTCGCAAACCGAACCGTCTTTCTCTATCTACCAGAAAAATTCAAAAAATTCTAGAATTATCGGGTTTCACACTTACTTACCTACTCCGTTATGCCAAACGAGATGATACGATTCGTCCTACAACGACAAAGATCCACGAAAAGTGGTGTTTTCGATGGATAAACTTAGAAGAGGAACTCCGAACGAAACGGCTCGCGGTGATCATTGATTACGAAAGGAACAAGATCGGCTTTCGTTCAATTTCGTCAAATCGAGTGTGGCGCACCTACAGTGAAAGTGTGCTTTAGTCCCGGTCTGCAATAGGTGATTTAAGCCTGGGTGACACCCGTTTGACCACATCCCGATTGACCACTAGCCACTTACAGGAGTCGGCGCCTAGAATTTTTTCACTGTTCAAGCGCTGTGAGTGGCTAGTGGTTAATCGGGTCTCACCCTTTAAGTCTTAAGCCATAAGAAATTGACCAATCATAGTCGATTATTTTTCGATTATACTGGGTTCATTTCTTATGGCTTAAGAACTTAAATTACCTATTGTAGACCGGGACTTACATGGACACTTCTGGAAAGTTCTTTGAATGATTTGCAATAGTTGCCCTTAGCAAAAAAGCAACTTTGCAACTGTTGTAAACTGTTGTAAAATTCTATTCGCATACACTTGACCGGAAAAAAGTTTCGGAAGAAATTATTATGTTAAAGCGTTTGTATTTCGTTTGAAGAGTTTTTTTGAAGTGCAATTAAAAAGATTTGTGAGTCATTCAATTAATTATAATTAATTATTAATTTTTTTTATCATATATTCGGCCGGAATAATTAGCCGGAAATAAATGAAACAATGATTTTTTTATGGAATCGTTTATATTTCGTATAAAGAGTTATAAAATGTCATTAAAAACGTTTGTGAGTGATTCAGATAATTTTAATTAAATATTTAAAAGTAATATTGACTGAAATATAATAGATTTTAATCCAGTTCCGCTATCGGCAGTCTAATATTCCGAAACTCTGATTCTTTTTAATACAAATTTCATAACAAAATGATGGATGAATGACTCAAAAGTTTTCTCGAGTTTTTCGGACAAGATAAATGTATTTGATTAGTAACGTAATTTATGTTACGTTGTTTGAGTAGGTAGTTCATACAGGCTGGCGTCCCATACGCGGAAATCCACGGCGGAACAGAATGCACGAACCAATCTCAGCGAAAGAATGAAAAGAATGGACGAGTTTTCTTTTAATTCTTCCGCTGTGATTGGTTTACGCGTTCCGTTCCGCTGTGAATTTTCACATCATGAGATACTAGCCTCCATGTTCATAAGTCCCGGTCTACAATAGGTGATTGAAGCCTTAAGCTATAAGAAATTGACTAATCATAGTTGATTATTCTCCTATTCTTCGATTACGATTCGTCCATTTCGGACCTTAATGACCGGTATTCAATAGTTAATTACCGGTTAATTCTTATACATGTTTAAGATTGCTTAAAATCGGGTTTCAGATCGTTTCAAGACCCTGCTCAGCTAATGAATTATCATAGAGCATCTCTCATGCTTAAAATGACCTTAAATATAAGGACTGATTATGAATATAAGGATATGATCAAGGGCTTACTACTAAATTCTTTGAAGCATTTTTTGATTGATGTATTAATAAAAGACCGACCTTTATGACGACATGTTGCAGCGTTGGCGATGATTTTTAGAACGCGGCCACAGATGAACGCCACGTATTTGTTATGTACTAACCGTATTCCGCATACCGGCGAGTGCATATACGAGAGCGATACCGCACTCGGCAGGAAGATAGAGGAGGAGAAGGGAAAGTTCTCTTAGCACCGTTGCCGGTGTACCGGATTTGCAGCCCCGTCGACGATGTCTTTTGTGCACACGTTAATATGCGTCCTCGCGCTCTACCTGAGTGCGCACAGAGGATGCATCGCTGCCGATTTGATAGATCCGAATGTGATTGTCAGGAACGTCGAGCGACACATCGACCTGCAGTCCCAGCTGACCAAGATCACCACTCGGGTGGTGTTGGATAACAACAGCAAGGATCGTGGTATTCAGAACTTCCTCTTCTGCCTGGACGACGAGCAGAGGAGTTCCGTCAGCTACGTGGCCGCTCACGTGGAGCCCGGTAAGTTGGAGCTCAAAGTGACGGAGGTCAAGGTGCCGGCGCATCGCGACCGGGTCTTCTATTCAGTTGATCTTGGCAACCATTTGGCACCCCGTCGCACCCTCACTATTGAACTGGAGACGATATTCACGCACGAGCTGGTGCCACATCCCAAGCAGATCACTCAGCAGGAGAAGCAGCTTGTCAAGTACACAGGGAACGTGTATGTCTGCCTGCCCTATGCCGTTACGAAGCAGACTACCTATGTGGCTTTACCTACGCGCAACATCGAGAGCCATACCAAAATCAAGCCAGTCTCCCAAACTGGCTCTATGCTGGCCTATGGACCATATGAGACACAGCCGCCGTTCGCCTACGAAGAGATGACAGTGCACTTCGAGAACAACAACAAGTTTCTCACGGTGACGAGACTCGAGAGAATTATTGAGATTTCTCACTGGGGTAATATAGCCGTTGAAGAGCACATCGATCTATTGCATACAGGAGCACTGCTGAAAGGATCCTTCTCGCGCTACGAATATGCTCGAGAGTCCAAGTCCGGGCAGGCCAGCATTCAGAGTTTCGATACCATTCTGCCAGCCGCTGCATCCGATATTTATTACCGCGATGAAATCGGTAATATCTCCACGTCGCATACTCGCATCAAGAAGGACTCTGTAGAGCTGAATCTGCGACCAAGATTCCCGTTGTTCGGTGGTTGGAAGACCCGCTATACGATCGGGTACAATGTGCCTAGCTACGAGTATCTGTTCCACTCCGGTGACGAGTTTGCCCTGGAGATGAGGCTGCTAGATCATATCTTCGATGATATGGTCGTGGACGAGATGGTTCTGAAGATCATTCTACCAGAGGGCTCGCGGAATATCAAGCTAGAGTTGCCATATCCGGTGACTCGATTGCCGGATTCCTTGCATTATACATATCTAGATGTCACCGGACGCCCAGTAATATCCGTGACGAAGAACAATCTAGTTGAGAATCATATTCAAAGTTTCAGGCTGAAGTACACATTCCCGCGTCTGCTGATGCTGCAGGAGCCGCTGATGATCGTGCTGGCACTGTGGCTGATGTTCCTGGCGGTCATAGTGTACGTGAGATGCGACTTCTCCATCGACAAGGACGAGGCATCGGAGAGCAAGCTGAGGATCGCCGGGCAATGCGAGAAGATACTTGCTATTCAGGATCGCAGAATCGCGACATACTATAATCTGGAGGAGCAGCTGGCGTACCTGAAGGTATCCAAGGATACGAACGCGTTTCTGTCTGCGATCAAGGGCATCAATCAGGATTACAAGGCGGCGAACAACGCACTCAACGAGATCGCGCAGAAGATCAAGGGCGAATCTAGCGACGTGTACGATCGCATACAGGAGTTGCAGAAATGCGATCGCTATCTGAAGGAGGTCTACAGTCAGTTGCAGGGATTATATTTGGAAAAACTAATCCCGGGCAAGATCAGTCGGCAGCAGTTCATCGAAATGGAGATGACGATCTCTAGAAAGAAGGAGGATTGCATCGACAAGATTAACGCTATCATCAAATCGCTCCGGTAATTGTGTTCCGCGGATGAACTTTGAGAACTTCGAGAGCAACGATCGGTGGCATTTGCAATACAGTAACGCGAGACCTCGCATCTGTTGTATTCCATTCGCGAATAAGAACGAGGAGGGATTCCATACACATTACATTCACACACACATCGAGTCACACAAAAAGACTCACATTTAGATTAAGATTTATAATAAATATATAAGAAAGAGAAACGAAATACAGAATTTCGTTGTATCTTTTTTGTTATGTCTCCAACAGGATGTTGTATCTAAATAAAAGACTTGTGAGATAGGCAATGCTATTATCATACTCGTTACATTTTCCTTACTGAAAAAAATATATTCATAACTGGAGTAATATAATTTACATTGTGAAAATACTAATTATATAACATTTTTCTTATTAAAAAAATATTCTCTTGAAATCAGATACAATTAGTTTTAGATTCTTATGAAGAAAAAAATTCTAATTGCGACAAACTACGATCATTTCCAATTGACAATTAATAATTTATATATCTACATTGTATATCGTTAATCATATTAATATATTATATTAATAATACATTGTAATTATGATAATTACATGTAATTATGATAATTAGACCTATCCTCTCCGAATTATTCCAACGATACAAATTCGATATACGATACATATTTGATATATATGTATATATATATTTTTATTTTTATTTAAAATCAAGGCTGGAGTTGTACGAATGGTCGCCACGATGGCCTGATCGATGGCACGCGACAGCGAGAACGGTGTTCAGACAGTCCGTACTGCGCATGAAAGCGCACAATGTCAGTAATCCTCCATCGGTCTCATCCATGTGCCGATCCAGCCGAGCCGGTCAAGACGAGAGACACCTGCTAACCTCTTCGTCTTTCCTCGGCCGGACGTACGCTCGAACGACACCCCCGCCCGGGAACGTTCCATGCTCGCAGCTAGAATGTCTAATTTACGGAAATTCATAGGTAAATGCGATCCATCGAGCTCACTCAGCCACATCCCGCGATTTACATATATTTATCGTATATATATCTCGCGATATGAGGTTATAACGACGCAAGGCTAGCTCCTTTTTTAATTACAAAACCCCCTTCCGTCGATACCTAATGGATTTTTGAGTCTTCGTTCCCTTTCCTTCGTGAAGCCGTCAAATATTTGCGAAACGCCTTTAGCTACTTCAATTCATTGTTCCCTTTCAGTGCCAAAAAGCATAATGTAAATAAATATCTATCTACTTTAGCGTTATACACAATGCCTTGTTATGTCGTTAACTCTTAGTGGTTTATGTGATAAATGGCATCACATGTGGTCCTAATGGGGTCTTTTGAGTCCGGCCCTTTTTTCATGTCTAAAGTGATTCGAAAAATATATATTTTCTAGAATAGATACCTATACTTCATTGTGTAAGAAATTAAAATATAATGTAATCCGGGACCTTTCAACTGCTGAATAATTTCTATCTGAATAGAAATCATCCAGACTCGAAATATCCATGTAGGCCACAAAAGGTTAATACTTTGTATGTGGTATGTGAAGTCTGTAAATATGTATATTTGCTTCAAATGAGTTTGCGTTAAGTAGAGAGAAAGTCAGTATTCTTCAATATTTATTTTAATTATTACAGACATCGGAGCCAATTTAACAGATTCCATGTATCAAGGAGTTTATCATGGGTCCCAGAAGCATCAGCCAGATTTGGATAAGGTTTTAGAGCGTAGTTGGAAGAATAATCTTTCAAAGATCATCATTACGGCAGGCAATGTGGAAGAAAGCAAGAAGGCTCTTGAAATAGCGAGGACCGATGGTAACTCTCTTCAAATATAAAAGATACAAATCTTTCTTCAAATGAATGATCATAGTAGAGAATTGAGAATTTCAGTTTTTAATCCATCTTGCTGAGTAATTTTAATACTATTTTATTCATTCTGAATGAGTGATTCATTACTGATTGATGAACAAATTACAGATAGATTGTATTCGACGGTCGGTTGTCATCCAACCCGCTGTAATGAATTCGAGGAGAGTGGCAATCCAGAAGAGTACCTGAAATCATTGTCGGATCTGGCACTAAACAACAAGGATAAAATCGTCGCTATTGGCGAGATGGGCCTGGATTATGACAGACTGAATTTCTGCTCAAAGGAGACTCAAAAAAAGTACTTCGAGTTGCAATTGTCTCTGTGTTCTACATTAAAGCTACCGATGTTCCTGCACTGCCGCAACGCCAGCGATGACTTTGTACGAATTCTAAGGAAGCACAAAAATGAATTAACGCCTGGTGTCGTACACTCCTTTGACGGCAACCCGGAAGACGCGAATTCCATACTACAGTTAGGTTTATACATTGGCATCAATGGGTGGTAAGATCAATAAGTGATTTAAGAAAATCAATTAAAAGGAAAAAGAAAAAAATCGGTCTAATCTCATTTTGTTTCGCATTTCAGCTCGTTAAAAACAGAAGAAAATCTCTTTGCGGTCACTACCATTCCCTCGGATAGACTCATGATAGAAACCGATTGTCCGTGGTGCGAGATTAGGCCAACACACGCATCTGCGAAAGACGTTATCACGCATTTCCCGTCTGTAAAAAAAGAAAAATGGCAGGCGGATCAAATGGTTAAAGGACGGAATGAGCCTTGCACGATAGTGTGAGTATATTTTTCTCTCCGCAGGCAAATCAAGAATTATAGATAAAAAATTGAATGTTAATGTCCGCAAGATATCTTCGAACGAGGTGTTTTTTTTACAAATCCTAATTCTAATTTCTTTTTGCAGTCAAATATTGGAAGTTTTAGCGCGGATCAGAGACGAGGAGGAGGAATATCTGTGCAATCAAATATACAAGAACACGATGAAGCTCTTCTTCCCGTACGAGTTATAGTGTGTGAGTATTCAACACTGCGAAAGTATAAACTGATCTAGAGTGCGTCAATGAAGCGTGCACTCATGGAAGTAATCAGGGATAAAAGCTGTGAATGCGCGTAAAACAGAGCGAAAAGATAAAAGGAAAAGAAAAAAAGAAAAAGCACGCTGCTGAAATTCTATTGAAGGAAAGAAATGAAGACACTCATTTTTACATATGTGGCTTTATGGAAGTGGCTGATGTCACTATCCACAGATCTCTCTTCCCATGTAAAACTTTAATATATTCTTGTTAAAATTATATTATTATCATATTTCATGTTCATCTATCGCATTTCGTCGCTATTATTACCATCATCTCATTATTATTATTATTATATTATTATATTATATTGCAATATTTATTAATACTATTCTGCTATTCCTAAGAACGTCACCTGTCGCTGTTATTACTCTGACCCTTCTTTCTATGTGTGAAATGATTTATTTCTTAAATAATAATTTTTACTTGCCTATATAGTAATTCCTCTACATCTACAAGAGAAATTCTTATGAAAAGGTTTTTATTCAATCACTCAGTAAAGTCGAATATATTCAATCAAAATCCTCGAAATTATAAATGAAAATACAAAATATGTTAAAGATCGCGTTTTTTTGACGATTCGCGATTAAGAAATAGACCTAAATGCATAGACATATATATTACTTATCAATAATTTCAAAGAAAGTGACAGAAAAATATTTATCTCGATAAAAAAATGTTCACGATTATGTTTCTGTTCGTTAGGAGATCACGAGAGAGAGAGAGATTTTCTTTGTCGGGACCAACCAAAATAATATATAGGTTTTCTCTTCTAGATATCACAGGTAAAATGGCCGACGCATTCGTGATCTCCGGAAAATATACATATATGTAACGCGTGTCATAAATAATAAATGCTGAATTGCATGGAGAGGCGGAGGTTTCATCACTGACGCAATGATTCGTACAGCAAACCAATGGATTTTATTCATGGCACTTTGGAGAGAGTCTGCACCTTCTCATATACCCAATCGTACGTTTGAGTCGCATACGATTGCGTCGTGTCGAAAGCCCATATGGCATAATTGCGAAGATTATCCGGACTTAGTTTGCCCCTGAAAAAAAAGGAAAGATCATGAATTAAGTATATATAGCGCTTTGTAGTCTCTACAATCTGATATAAACTCACACAAAGACATTCTTCTCCAACCACTGTATCGTTAAACTGGAATGTTCAACAACTTTCTCTCCAAGTAAAATGAGGGAAACTTTCACATATTCTAATCCCTGAAGACTTCGAGATTTTATTTGCTCCATAATTCCTGGAGCATAGTGCTCGATCTGTATAAAAGAGAATCATTACGAGATGCACGAAGGAGTTGTACACAAAAAGATTTGAGATTTTTGTTATACTTACTCTATCCAGAACTATCGGTACGTTTCTTTCGACATATGCTGCAGCATTATTATATAATTTTACTGAAACATTTCTTACTACAAGGCAGACATCACCAGCTAATTTAATGTATGGTGTACACAAGTCTACAACTGCTTTGTAGTATTCTGGTGAGCTATCCTTAATTGCTTTGTGTCCTGCAGACCAATAGAACTTTAGAGTAGTCCATGTTTTTTCTACATGTTTCAATATTCCACTAGTTTTCAAGAATTTTCCAACTTGGGACGCTACAATACATAAAACATCAATGTACAATAAAGAAAAGCTAGATTTGTATCTCCAATTTATTAGAAGACAGGTCAGAGAGACAGAAATAGAGGCATGATGTTTACGATGGCAATGGCTGTGTTTATTTTACAACTGTAGAAAGTTTTTGCTAAAAATTGCATATTCTTCTTATTATAAAAGAACAATTCAATGTCATAAAAAACTTGTGATAGTTGCAAAATAAATATTTTGCTGATCGTAGCTATTGTTGATGTTTAGCAAATTGATTATCTGGTGAATTTTATATGATGAATTAAATATATAATGAACTTTCAGACAACATTATGACAAAAACAGAGAACATTGAAGAAGCAATGAAATAATGAAAATGACAAACTGAGGTTGACATGAGGCGATAGGAAGACAAAATGATTAGCATCACAGGATGTTTACAGGATGTTCTTACCCTCAAACGAGCCATATTTCTGTGTGTCATATGCTACAATAGCACCAATCAGCAGCAACAACAGGAGACTGGCTGATCCCCATGGAAAGCTGCGTTTGGAAGAGGTCATTTTCTTCAATAGTGCCTGGAAAGATAGACAACATAAAGCACAAATTTTCCTAACATTTTCTCTGAAACTCCTTCACAAATTCTATTCAAAAACTTTGAAAAATAATTGTTCAGGCGTGACGAATTCTCTCACTCGTCTATCAGACAGAGTCCCTCGGTTTCATCTTACCCTTTCGCAAGGACGAGTTTTAATCGAGTCGTAATAAAGTCGTGACAGCGAGTCGGCCTTAGAAAACGCCCGCGGGACATTCGCGCGGAGTAACTGCGTACTTCGTGCCGCCTCTCCGCGCCGAGAGTACTTTGAATCGCGTGTGATCGCACGAGATAATTAACGTCGATAGGTATCTCTGACGATCGATACGCCAACCTGAGACCGCCTCGTCATCCGCCGGAGAGGATCCTCACGCGATTCGCTCCTTCGCGGGATTACCGCCGCGGCGGCGGCGGCGGCGGCGGCGGTGGCGGCGGACGCACAAACGCACAACCGCGCGCGGAATTTTTATTTCCCTCTTACCTGTGGAAAATTGGAAGGATGCGAGGGCCGTTCTTTTTTGCACTCGCGTATATTTCGTTGCGCTCTCGCCGTAAGGAGAAGGGGGGAGGGACAGGCAGAAAGAGAAAAAAGAAAACGGACGAATGAGCCGTGCGAGCGGTGCCAATGTCGTCACTGTCGATCGCGGAGCGAAGAGGGAGGGGGAGAGGGGCGAGGATGGACACGCGCGATCAATAGTCGCGTACGCTCTCCGAAAAACGTTGGCTGGCTCTCTAACCTGAGAACGCCGGTCTGCAGCTACGTGACGTTGCTCGACGATTGTTCGAAATCGAGTTCGCCGCCCGTCGAGGCCGGAACGGGGAGCCGCCCGACTTCGCTCCGACGGCGGCGCCGAATTCCGTTAGGAATCCGCGCGTCACCGCTTCGCTTTCGCGGCCACGATTCCCTCACCGAAACTCGTCGCGCGGGACTTACTCTCCTTTTTTTTTCTTCTTTCCTCCTTTTTCCGTCTCGCACTCTCGACGCACGGGAGAAACGACGTCCCGAGAAAGAGAGAAAAGTTCGCGCAAGAATCTGCGAAATTAAACTGTCGATCTTATCCTCCGGGACGCACTAAGAGAGGGACGATAAATTATTGTTTTCCCGATTAGAATTTTGTTGTTATCTCTCTTTCCGCTTGACTCGCGAATGCCGTTTCTTCTTCACAAACACGTAGACTTGGAATGTATTGAGAGAGGTACAATGAGAGGAAAAATACTCGAAGAAAAAAAAAATTCAAATAGGTATTGGCGTTACGTGGATTCACGAGCTCCGCTCTGTTTGTTGCTCTGATAAACGTACGTACATACGCGTGGCCAGGGAATGACGACGCGCAAATTGCGTAGAATGTCACGCACCGACGGAGACTGCGACGCGCGCAATTGCGAGCCTAATCCAAAATACATTATTATTCGAGGCGAGCCAATCAACCGTCACGCGATTCTCTTATCGAGTTCCATTGATAAGGCATTCTGCCCGATATATTCCATTTAATTAGATCTTTTTTTTATCTTCAATTGAATTTTGCACGTAGAGAAATTGAACTAATCTCCTGATTTGCCTAGGTTTAGCCTCTTTTTAAAGAATTATAATCCTTGCGTGTACACACCTGCGAATATATATGAAAAAAAAACAGTACAACCCAAAGGCACTTTCCATATTTTATAATACACAATATTTGCCATTCCAATAATTTATTTTACAATTAGAAAATATTTTATTAAAATTGGATTAATCCTTGAGAGCTAAAATAATAATTCAATCTAAAGTATATCCAAATATTATAAAAAAATTTCCCATGAAAAGAATTGTCGGATTTCTTAAGTATCTTTGTTTAAAATTCCTAATAAAATTAAAGAATTTTTAAATGAAATAAGTTTATCTTATTGTGTACGCTTTTTAATGTTTTCTTATTGAAGAAAAGCCACTTAATATTTGGATATTAATTTTTGGTTTAATCACTCTAGGAAAATATTAGCTCTTTTTTATAAAAACTCACAAGTTATGTGTCAATGAATTCCAGGTTTTCCAGCTTTTTCCAGAGAAGAGACATACATCCTGCAATCTCAGCACAAGAAACTTCCGACAGTCGTAAAATAAATGTTCTGCCGCATGTTGCCAATATGAAGTGGCGAATTGAAAGTTATAAGAGATAGAAAACGCGAGATTCCACGAGAATGTAGAAATGAGGGAAATGCTTTCTAAGTTTAATTACCCGTGACTGTCTGTTCGCGCTGGAGCAAATAAATTTTCTGCGAGCTCATCAAAATACTATCTCGGATGTCGCGAAACAAATAATATATCATATATTAAGTGCTAAGTGCTGTGTATAAGCTATGCTCTTTACCTGGCTGCGCACGCGATCATTGTTAAATGCAGAATGGCATTGTTAAAGAGTAACACCACGCTTGGATTTTACGATGTAACTGGATCTAATTAGTCATTTTTGTCTGTCATTCCGTTTATTGAGGTCTATAGACTTTATATACGTGGCTCTCTTTTTAAACCTTTTAAAATACACTTTTACAATCTCTTGTACGGTTCTTGATTTTATATGATAAACACAAAAATATATTCTCCATTTGAGTTTACTTATTTAATGAGATAGTAATTAACTTTGTATGTCTCAGGCAGTGAAAAAGTAAATTTCTTTCTGCAAATAACTGATGCAGTACACGATTGTTGCTTAAAAATATGTGCAGATGTTTTTTTATTCTGTGCACGAGATAAGCGTGTTAAAACATACTTATCGAAATAAAAACATTTTAAGTGTGATATACATTATCAGATATTTTTCAATATATATGTATATATTATCAGATGATATCAATTTCGATATACAATCGCAATTGTCTTAAATGAATACGTATGTCACTCAATGTCATTACGTTCTTCAAAAAATAGTTTAGACATACATTTATATCTAAATTGTATTTTGAAGTAAATTTTATTGAATCACTTCACATTTTAATAAAATTTTAGAAATATATGAGAGAAAAAGAGACAGGAAACTCACCTGAGACGTTTTCTTGCATGTAACTGCTAAAGTCTCATCTTTGGCCTTTTTCCACTTTTCATTATTGTTTTGGATAATTCCGAGAGTTTCCTTGAAATGCTTAGCTTTGAACTTTGTTTGTAAATTAGGTAAATTCGTATCTGTAAAAAAGTACATTTTTGCATAGTTAATATAAATTTTATTTAAATATATATAATTTCATTTTAGCATGTGAGTGCTCACCGATATACGATAAAAGAAGACTTGATTGATATAAATGCTTGGTATAAATAGAACTCCAAATAGTGAAACAAACAGGTTCCGTGACAAGACAGTCGGCAAGAACCTTAATCAATTCGTGCCTATAATTCGGATCTGATTTCTGCGATACTTTTCCCATTAACATTTCAAACAGTTTCGTGTAACATATGTCTTTGTTCCTGAAGAGTATTGACTGCAAAAAAATATCGACGTTACTATATTGATTTCACTGCCATTATCAAATTATGTCATCAATACATTGAACACGCGTCATATACTATATTGTTTCTACAATTAAAACATTTGTTTATAAATTTATGGCTGTATTACTCACTCTCAGCTTGTCAATGCTCGCGCTAAGATCTTTTCCCAAATTTGTGGGTTGAATATTCTGAAATCTTTGAGAATAGGTATCCATAATGATACTCAGGTACAGATCAAGACTGAGATCGTGGACGTTATCATGACCAAAGACGAGGTCGTTGAGAATTTGCACAACATAGTTGGCGTAACCCTTTGTCTCCAACATCGGTGACATTACCTCGTGCCAGATTTTCAAGCCGACTGCTAGATTCTTTTTGCCAGCCTGTGACCAGGCCCACAGCAAGGACAAGCCAATGTTCTTTCTATTCTCATAGGAATTTCTTATATTAATCAATTTGGAAATGTTGGCGGCGGTCATCTCGGGATTTAAATGCGCTAGCAGCTGCAAAAATATCTTGTGACCGATAACAGGTATTCCCTTGACCATATCAGTGGCCATTGCCGTGAGAGTGTTTTCGTAAAAAATTTGTATGGTCTGCTGGCCCGTCATTTCCACTGCTCGTTCCAATATGGAAGAGATTGGCTTAGGTACTAAACTTAACGGGTAGTCCTTGGGTTTTCCTGAGAATATCACATCTTCTTTGTTAATGGGTATCTTGATGTTGAGGAAAGCATCGAGTTCCTTCAGCCAGAGCAAGGGAGCCTCAGGAAATCTGACTTGTGCAGTAGTCAGAAGATCATTGAGCTCCTGCGCATTAATCTGCATACATAGTAAATTATTAATTAATAACATTAAAATTACAATAATCTGAGATAAAAAGAAATTAATTTATGTTCGTTTCAAATATGTATATATTTTTTAAAAAGGACATGTAAAATTGAAACTCAAATATATCAAAATTGATATTTGTTTTTCTGCAATGTCGATTCTCGTGGAGATAGCACATTTTGATAATTTGTATACCTATTATAGTGTATATAATCCTGGATTATATACACTAGAATAGGAAGATTATGAGTTGTCCGAAAATATTTCATTTGATGTTTTTTTTTTTGGAGTATTTTATAATTAATTAAAAATTGATTACAGATGCATGATTATATAATTTTTTATATATCACATAACAGCTGCTCATAGACACATGCATAACTGTGATACAAATTGATTGATAGAATTTATCTGAATTTTATATTTAACTTAAAAGATATATAATGCCATAAATTAAAATGTACATAATACAAAAATTAAGTTGTACCGCATTCAATGCATCTTTGACAGTTTTTGGAGGTTTTTCCTTTGGTTCTTGTTTCTTCTTTTCACCTTGTTGCTGCTGTTGCTTTTGTTGCTGTTGTTGCTTTTTTCTTTCCTCATTCTCTTTCGTCTTATGTTCTTTTCCCTGTGCCTTGACAGGCTTCTTGTTCTCCTTGTTCCCATCTAGATTATCGTACAGTGTTTTCACTTGGCTCAGAGGTACTGAAATAACATGTATTAAATCAGTTATTTCTTCGTAGAAGTAAAGAGTTGTCTCTGAAATAACTACAAAAGAGGATGATTAGGAGTAACGAAAGGGCATAATCGCGGAGTGAATGTTCGCAAAATACACGCTCTAGTACCATATTGTGATCCTTTCTTTGTACATTTCACGCACGATTGATATCTGTCGAGTCGCTTTTGTCGTCAATAATGAATCGACCGAGTCGCGAAGGGACAATCGGAGCGGAAGTTGCGAGGATGTTGCGTCTCGGGAAGGAAGGTAAGAGAGCAGGCCTGCAAATGATGACTCACAGAAGTCCTCGACTTTCGGCGCGTTCTCGATGAACCTCTTCTTCTCAGCCTTTGTGAGCTTGTTCGATTTGTCATTACCGCGGTCCTTTTTTCTGCTAACCAGTTCCCAGCTGCCGGATGACATCGTGGTGAAAATGTAAACGCGACCGATGACAAAATACACACACACACACTTACGTACACACCACACGCGACACGGCACGCGCGTATGCGGGATGAGAAAGAGAGGAAGAAAGAGAAAGAGAGAGACGACACGCCGCTCGGAAGGCACTGAAGTTGGCTGGAGCAGCGCGACTGGAGGAGGACAGCGCGCGTCGGTCGGTCGCCCGTTTTTTTTTTTCTCTTTTCCTCCGGTTGGAGGATGTCGGATTAATTCCGACTATGTGTCTTCAACCCTAGGGTTATATAACACAGGTTTATCTAAATCCTTTATAAGTTTCTCTGTATTCTGTGATATTCTAGTTCAACTTTCTCTTTATCCACGTTTAGCTTTCTCTTTATCCTTAACAAATTGCATGACGCAACACAAAAATTCATGTGAGGACAAAAGACGTCCCACTCACTCGATGGCTAAAGACCAACTGTCGGTCGCCCGGTTTTGTTCTAGGTTTTGTTGGCGAAATGTCAGTCACGACTGTGGTACGTGGTAACGCATGCGCACTCGCGAGACTGCCACGCAACCGGCGAATTCACGATTGCGTTTTCATTTTCGTTTCGCCGCGCTTTTGCGCACGCCACGTACTTATTTGTTTTTTTATTTTTGCGCGCGGATTGAACGCAAAAGAGATTACAACCGAGACGCGGTCGTATAGATATTTATAAAATGTAAGTAGTTGAAAATTAATTCAAAATTATTTTAATATGTGAAGAAGGATTAGCTTAAAATAGAGAATTGTGTCGTTCGAAATTTTAAATAGAATGAAGAAATTTTGATCCCTGATGAAGTTACAAGGAAATTACATTTTATATAATTTTAGATAATTTTGTCATTTAATTAAATTAATCGCCGATTAAACTAATTAAAGTTGGGTCGAAATAATTTTTAATTCTTTCCTTTTCTTGGCTATATTGGATTAAAAATATGAAATAAATAAAAAAAAATATAATTAAACTCTCCGGGAGAAACCCGGATGCAATCGCGAGAAAGAAAAGCCATTTCTCCCTTGGACGCGATTTCTGAGAACAGAATTGTAAAAATTAATTGAAATCGCGTTCAAATCCCGGAGGATTCGCGCCTCCTCCGAGAGAACTTCCGGTTGCCCTCGCGCCTCGCCAGCCGGCCGCACGGTGGCAGCACCGCGTTGCGCTGATGCGCGCCGTGACGTACACATAACTTGCGCACATACGTGCACACGCATACGCGATCGCCTTTGCGATAGGGTTTGAATCTCCGCTGACTGCGAAGAGTGTGCCGCGTGCCGCGTGCCTCTCTGACTCGTCAACGTAAAAACGTGCCCCGCGACTACGACACAACGCGAGCAACGACGACCACGACGACGACGACGAGAACGTCGTGCTCCGGTCGGCGTCTCCGATGTGACGTGCGACACGCGCGTTGCCCCGAGAACGTTCGCATCGCCCGACAACGCGTGTGCGGGCTCCTCCAGCGACTTTATGCCCAGGTGACCCCCGCGCGGCCACGACTTTCTCCAACCTGGTTTCGGCAGCGTGCGGTCAGCCAGCCGGAAAACAAGCGGACTCGACTCGTCACGTTGTCGTACCCGTCGTCGTCGGCGACGTCGTGAGAGGAGGTCACCGCTGTCACGTCAGGTCAGTCTCGAGACCGTTTGTTAGGTTAGTTCGCGGCACGACGCCGCGACGCTTAATCGGGTGGGGGCACTAATTAGGGAGCGAGAATGGAGAGAGATATGGAAAGAGAAAGAGACGTAGACACGCGCGCGTCGTTACCGTTAATCAGTTTTCCGATTGTGCACGCATTCTTCACGTTTGATCCCTTGTTTTCTAGCTGAGCTATTGTTTTGGCGAGACCTTCCCAGTCGCGATTCGTTTTGTTCACTGTGTACTTACACAACTGTTTCAATTTTGCCCTACAATATAAATCTAAAAAATCTAAACAACTGAGTAAACGTAATAGTAAATTCTTTTTTATTGGATTTTTTTATGAATGAGCTGTCAAATATTTTAGAGTAGTGACAAAAATATAAGCATTAAAACTTAAATAGTGAGCAAATTAATTAATCATAGCCAAGAGTTTTCAAATAAAATACTTATATTTTCTACTTGATTGATTCGCTTATTTTATCACTATTTCGTCATTTATAAAATTGTTCAATGAACAATAGAATGATTGTACCTTTATTGTCTTGTAGTTAAATTCTTCGAGACAAAATGGGTAGTAGCAACCAACTGTATAGTCTATCCTGGGGAGAATTCAGTTCTTCTCTGGCCTCTGCAGTACAACTGCTAAGAGGACACGGTGAATTGGTGGATGTTACCTTGGCTGCTGGTGGACGGAGTTTTCCTGCACATAAGATAGTTCTTTGTGCAGCAAGTCCATTTTTACTGGACTTGTTAAAGGTTGTATCATATTTTTGGTAGGATTCTAATAACCTTTCTAGTTTTTGACAAAGATAATTATAACATTAATTTGAATTTGTTATACATGGAAATATAAAAACTAACAATAAAGGATCTTATTCATAGAGTACACCATGCCAACATCCAGTGGTCATGCTAGCAGGAATTGGAGCAGATGATTTGGAATCTCTATTGGAATTTGTATACCGAGGAGAAGTGAGTGTCGAACCGGCACAATTGCCTTCTTTGCTCCAAGCTGCTCATTGTTTGAGCATCCATGGGTTAACACCACCAACTATAGTAACAGAGGTATATTTCATTTTGTTTTGTTACATTGAAATAAAAATAGCATTATTGATCTACATGCAAATACATGTACTTAGAGTGGCGAAGAAGTTCCTGCGTCTGCGATACCTACGGCGACGAATGATGGGTTACCAAGGGCGACGCTCAACTCGTATTATCCATTAAAACGAAGAAAAAAGAGGAGGAAGTCATCGACATCCTCTGGAAAATGGCAATGCACCAGTAATACTACAGATAGCGAAAGCAGGCCTTTGGATGACAACAGAACAATGCCTTATGAAAATAAAGATGACGACGCTACAGATCAAGCCGATGATGCAGGTACAATGTCAATAATTTTGCAATGATTTTATTTGTTTATAAAAATTTATAATGGAAATATTCATTTATCTTTTGAGTATTGTGAGTTGTCAGACGAGTTTTTTTCTTATTTTATTAGTTGGAAATGTTATCACAATTTTTAAGTTATTCTTGATAATTTAAAAATTCTAATCAAGCACGCAAGACAATAAAAATATAACAGCAATTTTACTTGTGTTTTGTGTCCGATATATTATGTTTAGCAAGTAGCCATCATATAAAAATAAACCAAAAATCATATCGCCTACGAGAGAGAGATTTCTGTATGTCTATGTAGGCCTTTTTTTCGTTTCAATTAAAACGGACACAAGCACAACCATCGATCGGGTTGAACTGCAATTCTGATTGGTCGTCCTCCGATTCGTCTGACCATGAGAGAGCGAGAGAGCGAGGGAGCGAGAGAGCGAGGGAGCGAGAGAGCGAAGGAGCGAGAGAAACAAATTCAAAGCAAGCCAAAGCAACGTCAGTTCAGCCCCGTATGGTAACATTGTGTTTGTGTCTGTTAACAGCGGGCAACTGCTTGGTCGGAAACTATGCGAACAACCATCAGGGCGGCAGTCATTCACCGCGACTTCAAGACCCATTATCCGTCGCGGACAGTCAGGCGGCACAACCGGATCACGTCTCGGATGGCGAGTCGCATCTGCATACACTAATGCCGATGCAGTTCTCGCCGTTGCAGATACCGCAGTTCCACAGCAGCCTCAACATGGGCTTCCCGTCTGGTCTTGCGTTGTCCGGCTTGGCAGCCAGTCAGACCGCGTCGTCTGGCACATTAACTGGAAGCACGAATCAATCAAAAGCTCGCGGCGCTTCCGACTGTCCAGGTGTTTGTCCGCTTTGTGGCGCGACTTTACGCCAGGCAAGGAATTTACGTAGGCATTTATTGTCTTCGTGCAAATATCGATTCAGCAACAATTCGACGACGACCACGACAACGCAGAATTCCGACACGACGATAATGGAGATTAAACCCGAGGTTGAGTTATCGACTTATAACGAGTCATCGGTGACTTATGGAACCGACAGCGGTAGTAACAGCTGTGAACAGATAGTCTGCAATCCTACTCTACCTTCGCCAACGTCACACGAGTCTGAAAACGTATCACCACCGAGCAGCATCCCATCGCCGACAATCGCCAGATAAATAAATGTACAGGATGTGGACTCATCGATAGTATCGAGACGAACATGTTATCCGTTTTGTAGTTAATTTTTTTATGGATTCCGTTTAGTAGTCAGAGTTGTGTTATAGTGATACTCGAAACTATGTGAGTGATGTGACGCGTTACATAAAGACAGAAGAGAGATGAAAGATATTTTGCATTACTTGTATAGTTATATATATATATATATATTTACGCGAACGGTTATTTGTAATTATTCGTATACGCGTTATTTAATTAGGTCAAAAATTCGGAATATATCTGTACGTTTAATTTTATACAACAAAAGAATCTTCCACATTAGTATCTAAGGCAGTACCATAGGGTTTAAGCATAAGGAAGAAAATTCTATCATGAATTTCTCGTTATTCTTTTACCATCGGCTTATGCGATGATCGGGGTTTCGTGTGATCATGCGATTCAACTTTGTCCACTGCAATTTATTTTGCCGTCTCTTTAATCCCTCTATCAAGAAATGGTCTAATAGAATACATTTTTAAGAATACGGGCTACCGTTTTTCATTTTGAATTCTTATGTAATCAAGATTGTCCAGCCGCTTCTTCCGACAGCCACAAAATAAAAATAATCGGCGCACATTCCTATTTTGTAAATGCGATTTTCGCTCCGTAACTATTGACTGTGGACTGTTGACAATAGTACATTATACAAAACCGCTAGTATTTTAATTGAGAAAGAAATAGGATAACGGGTATAATGATGTATTGCCCATTTTCTTTTCTTTTTGAATAAAGCGCAAATAAAATACAGTATATGTGTTATTTTCCAGAAAAACTTAACTCTGATATTAATTTCAGAGCTGGATCGTTTCCATCTCTTTTTTTTTAGTAACTTAGTAACTAATTAGAATGGATTATACTCATACACATATATATATATATATATATATATATATATATATAGATATGAGGTCTGAGATGAGGAGTTCTGATCCGAAGACAAGTTTCAAGTCTGTCTAGCTTTGAATTCGTTTTAGGGGACGGATTGTCGAAGGCGCGCAGTCTGTCCGATCAGCCAGTCTCGTGTCCACTGTGCGGCGCGATTCTGCGCCAATCGAGAAATCTCAGAAGACACTTGGAGCTTCTGCACTTCGGTCTGGGCAACAGTAGCAAATCTGGCATACACGTGAGGCATCGGCGCGTGGCGGCGGCAGCGGCGGCGGCGGCGGCAGCGGATAGAGCCAACGATTTCGGCCTGTCGTCTTTAGCCTGCGTTCGTCCCACCGCTAGACTGGACTCACACCTCGCCACGAGATCTTCTGAAGCATCGGATTTTCCCATGATGACGCCCTTGTCGATCACTTCGTCCGTCAGTTCCGCTTCGAGCGTCAGCCTTCCAGGTGAATCGCAAGTTATTCACGTAAAGATATTCCAAGAATATTTTTATCCTTTAAATATAACTGCCTATAAATGTAATTTGTTATATATATGTATAATTATATTATTTTCCTTTTGAATTCGAACGCAATTATACAGAGAAACAATATTTCCGTGCAGAAGGAGAGAAAATGATAAAATTAGCTGGATAAAGATTTCATCCGCGTATAAAATGTTTGAAAAATAATTGCTGCTAATGAGGTCATCGGTAAATCATTGATCTGACGAAGAAATGTTACACAATGGTATTAAAATTTTAATGTTACGCTTTACGCACATTACATACGATGTACGCGATATTGTCGAAGGATTAACGGATGCACCAAATGCATTATCGCTTTCGCTAAAGCGATTACATCACGAACATATTCACGCGAATTGCGGGCCTCTCCTTTAATGTGGGTATAAATTCTGCAATCGCGCGGTTGTAAGCATTAATAATTATCAACATTTTACGTGAACCGCGATTGTGATCGGAATATTCGGCTGGAATTACGTAATTTGTTATATCGTCGTAAATTAATCCGTGCGTTGTTAAACTTCACATTTTAAAAACGTGAATGATGTTCACTTTTATATTTCCGCGAGATATCACGAATTAATAGCACGCGTAATGTTTTTACTCTCAATATTCCGATGCAGACGTTACTAACATTATTTCTAATTTATAAATTATTTATCCTTTCTCAATTAGTATTGTTAAATATTCTGTATATTATTTTTGAAATATTATTTTTCTTAGCAAGCTTATTCTGTAATTAGCTTAGAATTTTAATTGTCGCACACAATTGTCGTTTATTATAATAACAGTGTATATAGATGACGATATCAGGACGATATCTCATCGTCTCATGACATCAGCAAAATTTAGATCTTTTTCGATGTAGGGAACTTGATGGCTCCGAGTTCGGGTCTGTTGAGTTCCAGCGATCAAAATGGACATCCGCTGCCGGGAGCCACCCCGGCCACGTGCAGTACATCTATGGTGCCTCCAACCAATGGGATCTATTCCTCGGACAGCGGTGCTAGTATGCTAAGCTGTCTACTGCCATCCTTGCCCACCTTGCCGTCCTTCTCTACGTCTCACGATGTGTTCCGACACGGCGAGATGTTGCGCGCGGGAATTGCTTACCACGATTCTTCCCGACAGCATGCCAGGCATATGCAGCGCACGGACGTCACGTAATTTCGTGACATGAAAAAAGCCATGAGAAACCGAGAGTGGCAGTATTAATGAAACACTGAATAGACTCCGTCAGTGTAGATTTATAGGCTATTTAGCAAGTATAGATATTTAAAGCGATGTGGCAATTATAGACGTGTACATTAAATACGTCGCCGGAACACACGACGAGATAGAGATTAAATAGTACGAAAAGAATGAATTAGCAACGCTGATTAGGATACGCTGTATTAGGAATTTTTTACTCGGGGCTATGTACACGAATTCGATATGTACGACTTATAAATAATAAATTATTTAGTAATGATATATTTATATTCAGTATATTGATATTTTTCTAAACATAAACATAAGTACTTTTTTTAAAAAAGGTTTTTCGACGTTTTAAAAAATGAAATTCTGTAAAGGAAAAACCAAAAAATCCGTTCGAAGTATATTACAAATCATGTTTTATCGCGACAATTATTTAGCGCACAAAATTTATTTCGCTCGGTAAAATATTATGAAAATTTTCTAGAAATGAAATTATCTCCTTTAGAATATTAAGAAATTTATAATGTGATTTTGTGCTAATCATGATTAACGATAATCTTAAATATCAAAATATCATACAACTATTCTTAGAGATTCTTCTAGAAAATTACTCACGTTTCATCTTAAACGTAATCATTCCACGATCATTATTTTTATAAAGATACTTAAGTCATCGAGTTGAGAGAAGAGGTACTCTCCTTTGAATGAATATCATACTTAGGAAAATCAAAAAGAAGAGGCCATGAGACTCGCTCATTTACGCTATCCTCTTCCCAAAGAAAATCCTTTTATCCTGAGCATCGACCATTCGCAACTATCTTTAAGATTATAGTCATGATCTTCGAAATTAACAGCGATCTTTGATCATAATATCAGATAATTAGATTCATCTCTTCGTGAGATCGAGTGTGCCCTAGAATGAATGGCCAATTTCTTCTGGATATTCTTTCGAGCTCTCCTTCCAGGAGTTTCAGCAGGTCATCGAAATATCGCAAGTCGTGAACGTCCTCTAGCAGTCTCGTTGTATCACTCGACAAATTGATCGCTTTTTTTTCATCGCACTGCGACATAATAAGACAAAGTATGAATATTGTATGGTTTTTTATAGTTTATATCGGAAATGAAATGTCGGGACAAGCGAAGTAAACTCTTTCTTTAATTTGAGTGAAGTATAACTTTGATAGAGTTTCGATCCGCTGCTTAATCAACAAGGGCGTTTAATATTAAAAATTGAGAAATTGCAAATATCCTATCTAAAAATCTTTACCGACTCACATCAATTAGAAAGCCCGCTTTTCACGTTTAATGCATATGCAATAATAAAATGCAATTAACTATCGTATTAACTATCGTAGCATAAACTATATTCGTAATTCTTATTTTCGAAAATCTTCTGTAATAACTCTTTATCGAAAAAATAATAATATGTAATTGTATGTAATTTATATTTATATGTAATTTAAATCTTGCACCAAGATTTTAATTTCACGTTAATGAGTGAGGGTAAGACATTTACCTGAAAATTTATACGTAAACCGCGTATATCTCCGTGAATCTCTTTATTGGCAAGCTGCAGTCGTGCTATTCTATCGCGGAGATGGCGTATCCAATTATTCGAATCGTCGGGAACTGCCGGTGCTTCCACGTCCGTCTCTATGGCCAGAGCCAGTCTGGTTAATTGGTCGTGAGAGGATGTGCTGTCGCAAAATCGATCCTCCTCCAGGAGGGCCGTTGCCCTACCGGGATCGCCTCGAAGACTTTCGAGAATAGATGCCGCTTCAATGATGGTGGTACTTCGATTCTATCAAACAATGTGTTCCGTTTTCAATTCACACAAGAAGTTCATACTTGATCAAATTATTAATTTTATATAAGAGTTTTTCTTAAGGATATATTATGTTTATTTTTTATTTTTTATTTATAATGAACAAATTATATATTATTCTAGATTGCATTTAAAAGTAATACAAAAAATTTTGAGTAAAAAATTATTTAAATAAATAAATATAAGTGTACTCTAATGGAAATATAATGATAAAATATATTGATAAAATATATTGATAAAAAATTGAGAGTTTTGATCCAGGTTCTAAATCGCCGTTAAACTCTTTTGTATTATTTTTAAATACGATTTATAGAATAATTTGTAAGTTTTTAAAAATTATTTATAAATTATTGAAAAGCGTACATTTGCGAGATTCACGTGATCCCTTGATGCGATCGCCAGTTCATCGCAGAGGCACATCGGCGTGTTTTGCGCATCGCTCTGGGTCTCCAAACTCCAATCGTAACTCTGTATCCCGGAAGTGTCCTCCAGAGAGGACAGCTGGGTGACTGGATCCTTGCAGTCGTCCCAGGTGGAGTTCAGCTGGTCATAGCCCGATTTGCCATTATTTCGCACGCTGCAGTCTCGATGCTTTAGAAGATCATCGTTCAATCCTATTGTGTTAGAATCATTGGTAGCATCTTGTCGCCGATCAAAAACAGGCATGGATGTCTTCGTATTCGTGCTCGGTAAATTCAGAAGTATTCTCAGCTGTGTTGCACCTGCATTCATGATTTCGTATGCATTTTACGCATAACTTTTACACATTTTACACATGTTGGCCAAAGGTTAATAAAGAGGCGTTCGAAAAGCAAATAAAAATGTGGGATAAAATATTTATTTTAGCAAATTTACAAGTTTCGTTGATCTCTAAAAACTAGTAATTGATTAAAGTTAACGGAATTGATTAAAGTTAACGTTTCTCAGTCGTGTATGGAAAGAACGGTTACCGAATTATCTAAAAGTTTGGTCAAATACAAATCTGAAAATAATTTTGTTGGGTATCAAAATTATTAATATGTAGGAGTATTTATTATTGTATTTTTGCTTAAGTAAAAATTTTTGATCTTCCAGTATTCAATTTCAGTATCCAATATCTAATTTGTACATCTTACATAATTATTTTTGCGTAATACATTATTTTCAGATTTGTATCTGACCAAATTTTTAGATATTTCAGAAAACCGTTCCTTCCTCGTGATTTCTAAATTTCGTTATTTCTAAAAAAGTTTTTTTTTCTCATTTTAACAAAATCGCTGAAAATTTATTAGTTTGGACGTAAGCTCCGAAGCACTCAGTTAGACGGACGAAACGTTAAATGATAACGTTACTTCATTTCGTGACCATGCATTAATATACTTTTGTATGAAATCCGTACGATTTTACAGCGCGCAAAATGCATTTGACAGAGAAAACGTCGATCGAGTTCGAATCCGGGAATTCATCGCTCAAATCTCGTACAGTTGCCTCCATTAACTTTCCTCAGACTCGCAGGCAGACTCAATCGAACCCGGATAGAAGCCCGACCGTTAGCGTGCCCGCAACAATGCTCGTGGCAGTTCCGCAGTCTCACGCTACTCGGCATCTTTACGGCCGTAGCGCGCCGGGAACGAAGGAAACGAAGTAAATCTGATACGTCAAACAACTCGATTCCGCGCATTGGTAAACCGCGAAACTTTATTAGGTCAGGTGTCACCGTGGCCGACGAGTTCTGCCCGCGGTGGCTTTGCTTCGGGGTCGATTCGAGGAAGGAAGTGCTGAAGGTAGCCGCGCGCCTGGTCGAAGGGTGGAGAAGGACCGGGGGAGGAAACGGGGATAGGAGAACTTTAAATTTTGCATACCGATTTGCTTGGAATCGATGAGACGGTTCAACCGTTTTCGGCAACGCCGGGACCTCCACTCTCTGCCCTCGTTCTCCGGGATGAATCTCGCCTGGGAGCAGACATATCGGCGAGGAGACGGTGTGAGTATCCGGTATTCCTGAGATCTGATCAGTCTCTCCGGGGTGTAGCAGACGCTGGCACTGGGATTTATGCATTCTTCATTGATCTCGCTGCTTATGGTCGCGGGCAAACTATTCTGCATATTGTCGGTAATTATATTTATTAATCATTCAAATCGCAAGGGAATGACTAATTTTTCATAAATTTTCATAAAGTTGTATATTGCACGTTTTACAATTCTGACAAGTGCGAGCAAAAAATTGAAAAAATATAGAATCAGATTACTAAAAAGAAATTACAAAATGGCGTCTATACTACGGAGAGAATACTTTTGCTGGCAAATCTAAAAATTTGGCCAGGTATAGATCTGAAAATAATTTTGTTGGTCATCAAAATTATTATTATTATTTAAACATAATAACAATATTGCAAAAATTTTTTATTTTTTAACCAATTTGAACGTCATACATAATAATCTTAAAAGCCCAATAAAATTATTTTCTAATCTGGCAAATTTTTAGATTTGCCAACAAAAGTGTTCTTTCCGTATTTTATTTGAATCTCAATGGAGCGACCAAATTTCATGACGTATCAAACATTTTACAATTTTAACCTACCAAAATTGTTATATAGGATATTTAAACATGATGATAATATTACAAAAAAATTTCTTATCCTCTAACAACTAATTAAAACAATAATTTTAAAGGCCCAACAAAGTTATTTTCCATGTCTGACCAAATTTTTAATCAAATTTATCAGTAAAAATATTCTTTCTATGTATTCTTTGGGTCTCAATGGAGCGACCGAGTTTCGTGATATTATATCGAACATTTTACAATTTTAACAAGAGCGAGCAAAAAATCGAAAAAAATGTAGATTTACTAAAGAGAAATTACAAAAAAGAACGGATAAATTCGTAAACTAATTTGCAGTACAATTATGGAATGATATATCCTTGCGTGTGCAAGTGATATCGATCACTGGTTGCGCGGATCAACCCCTTTACATTTATTTACCCAGTTATCTAATTAACTCGGTCTCTTGCGGTCTAATAATCGGATTGGATACATTCGCGTAATACGTAATCGACGGGCAAAAAGAGGAAGAGAAAAAACGTGCAAATGGAGATAAAAATCTACGTTTCGCCAAGTGGAAGTTCTAGAAATGTACCCCCGTGAAAACTACGTGCACACGGGGAGATTGTATGCGGACGGTAAATAAATTCTCGTCGAAAGGAAAACAGGAAACTCGACGAGTGCAAAAATAAAGTGCGCCGCTATGCTGCACATCCGGGGATTTATTAATTCAACACAACATTGATAGTTCAATTTAATAAGTACAGGAATGTGAGGGCAGCCGTAACATTTCAATCAATCCGAATAGGCATTCTAGAAATGCCGTTGAATATTTTAGCTTCACACATTGCTTTTCGAAACTAAATTATCTACATTACGTGTTTCATTCATTATTACATTAATAAAGCTATTCCGTAATTACATAGAAAAACAATCTTTGCAACAGGAAATAAAAAATTATTTCCCTATAATTGCACGAAAAGACCAATTTCGCAGAAATATTTAAAAACTTGACCAGAAAGATCTGAAAATAAATTGAGTCATCGAAATAATTAGAATAATTAAATTGATTGCTGAAATATCAACAACCAACTTTTACTTAAGCATTTTACATAATAATTTTATTATTAATCTAAATACTATTTTCAGATCTTAGTCAAATTTTTAAATACTTCAGCAAAACTGCTCTTCCCATATACAAGATAATTTAATTGTGAAATTTAATTGCGAAACGAATCGCGAATATAGATTACGTGTGCAAAAATTGCTCTGAAAATTGATTTTAGATTTAAGATCAAAGGACCTTTTATAAGATTGCGGTTTGAATTTAAACCTCGGGACATATTATAATAAACATGACATCATTGTACAAACCCTGTCACCGGCGTCCCCCTCGATCGGATCGATATCCAGATCGTCCCCGAACGAGATCAGCTCGATCTTCTCGCAGATTCCGCTCTCCTGCTCGTGCCTCGACACATCACGCGCGAAACTGCAGCTGTCCGAGTCATCCGAGTCGAGGCAGGACAACGTCGACGCGAACGAATCGGGTGATCGATGATCCCTGATCATTCGGATCCTCGATCTAGGCGATAACGGTATCTCCCGATCGCCCAGCCACCAGCCGAAATTCTCCTCCTCGTTGAGCGACGACGAGTCGTATTTCGCCGCGACGGCGGCGTCTCTTCCGTCCAGATAAAACATCGCCCGGCGACTCCTGACGTTTTCCAATCGACGTGCGGCGCGTCGGGAATTCCACCTGCAAGCAAGACGGATTGACGGACGGGCGAAAATCGGGTTTCACGTAATTCCCGCAAACAGGAGCACCTGAACGCGTGCCTCGCGACTCGCGCGCGAGACGAACTCCTGCGCGCAATCCCGACTTGCCGATAATAAATTCCGCTCGTCTCGATTTGTCAGCGACGAGTCACGACGAGTCACGCGCGAGTTTCGACGATAAATCCGCGCTCCGACGAGCTCTCGAGGATTGAAGATAAAGTAAAAATATGCCGCCACGAACGCGGCGTAACGAATAAATGGCAATGCTATTGCGATACAGTCGATAATCAATCGAAAAGCGCAAGATCCAAATTAGCTTTCACGAGGGCTATTTTTGCAGTACCACGTTATTCGAGAAATATTTGTAATGTGAAGATAAAATGTGTAGATAAAATTAGATTGAATTCTGTTCGTCTCTTATTATTATTAATTTTATCCGAGCTCTCTTTTCCCTTCTTAATCATTCTGGTCAAATTGGATTTACAAAAATAGCGCAAACGCGAAGAATGCATAAGACGAATGCCCTCGCATAAAATTTTCGACGTGTTAATACGTCAAACGTTAAATCTTTTATAACTCACGAAAATCGGCGAATGTGTTGGAAATTTACGCAGCGTTTCAACTATCTTTGCTTATCTTAATGTCACTTAAATATGCACTTTGCATTGAATATATGCTGAACAAACGATAAAATTGTTATTCTTTCGAAATCTCACGTACATCTCGCGTCCGTAGATCTTCAAAAATTTAACAGCAGCTGATGCATTTAATTAGTATAATTGTAAACTTTTTCACGAGATTTTCCTTAAAGAGGATGTAACCGTTTATTTAAATTAGGTAGAAAAGTATTATTTTATAATGGTTGATTTTGACGAATTCATCCATTCATTAAATCAGCTATTATTTAACTTAGATACACTGTATCCAAATTATTTAATTTAATTTTTCATTAACATTAAATATTTTTTAATATTTTCTTTTATTCATGAGATATCTAGCAATTATCATCGATTTTACACTTTTATTGTACAAAGCCTATTTCCTTTGCCTGATTACAAAAAAAAGAAGATATATTTCTTCCATTTATATAAAAAGAATGTAAAGTAATCCTGTTATAAAAGAATTAATAAAAAGAATAGTTTTGCTGAAATATTTAAAAACTGGATCAGACACAAATTTAACAAATAATTTTATTAAAAAATAATTATGTGGAATAGCACAGCATTATCAGCAGTTTAAGCATGCTGAGATAATATTGGAAAAACTTTAGATATTCTAGCAATCAATTTACATAATTACTTTGATGATCCAATAAAATTATTTTTGGATCTTATCTGACTAAATTTTTAAATATTTCAGTAAAATATTTCTTTCCAATTATGAGCGCGAAAACTGTATCTATCAACATTTTTAAACTTTAACAAAATTGTTCATGTATTACAAGAACATCTCACTATTTTCGCAAGTACAATAATTATTCAGAAAATCAATCGCAGTTATTCACAGCATATATAAATCCCAACAATTTCGACGTACGAAAAGAATAATTTTGCTGGCAAATCTAAAAATTTGATCAGCTACAGATTTGAAAATAATTTTTTCAGACTATCAAAAGTTATTATATAGGATATTTAAACATGATTACTACAAGAATTTTTTATCTTCTAGCAAGCAATTCGAATAATCATACGTAATTTTGGAGGCCCAACAAAATTATTTTGTATTCAGCCAAATTTTTCGATCTGTCAGCAAAACCGTTCTCCCCGTGCAATTATAACAATTTCAAACAAGGCACACTAATGATCGCGACTGACTGATCGATCAGCAAATCAGGCCGGTTTCGGCGTCGAGTTGCATTCGCGAGCCGACGATTTTTCATCAGATCGCACGTGGTTGCGGTCGCGCGGATATATATATGCGATCCGATCGGCGCGGGTGATCAGATCTCCCGGGATAGGATTGTGTTTAACGAACCGTACTCGGAGAATCACCGTGCGTCACATTTCGCTTCGCGATCGCGATCGGAACCGCCGCGCCGATTAATACGCGTCGCACGTCGGACGTCGACTGTTGGCGGTTACCCTGTCATCCATTTCCTTGACCTCCAACCAGTCGTCATGGTGACTCTAATTTAATAATCCGCCGTTTCCCGCTTCGCGTGTCGCATACTTTGCCGATACCGTCGCGTCGACGATCCTCGGTTGTGGTTTCCCTCCTTCCTCGCCCGTGTCTCCTTTTAGGCTACGTCACTCGCGTAATTGTTCGCGGATCTCTTCCGTTTCTCCGTGTCGATTCCACGCGGCGAATCGTAAAAATTTCACGTCAATCATCCGGTCAGCAGAAGCGATCGTGTTTCACGGGTTCAATCCCCGTGAAAATTTTCACCTTTCCGCCGCCTGTAGGAAAAGCGTTACGCACGCACGCTGAAAGGCAACGTAACGTTCCGTAAAGTGATTCTTTTTCGGATGCGGTGAATAGAGTGACATATCTTGAATGAATCGCGCGAAAAGCGTTTACGTTTCGAGTTTAGTTACAGTGAGAACTCGGTTGAGTAAGCAGTTTGGATTAAACGAATTTAATTCAGCGACTTGCCCTTCTTTCCTGAATCGCGATACAGACGGCATAATACGGAGAAAGAAATTCGATTGCGTCAAAGTTAATCCTAAATGATCAAGGTTTCGTAATCGTCTCTAATATTAATTAAAGAATTCTGCCATTCTTGCAACGTACCAGCGAACCTGTCTTCTTCATCGACCGCCACTTCCTCATGCACTTTGACTAAACTTAACCACAATCCACTCCACTATAATAGTTGTTCTCTATTATTCACTTTCCACATTGCAAAAACTCGATTGGTATCATTTATTTTTTAATTTCCTCGGAAACATATGTTCTAACATAAATAAAGAAAGAAATTTACTTACATCAAGGCTCACAAAAAGAACGATTTTATTGAAATATCTAAAAATTTCCAATACAAATCTGAAAATAATTTTGTTATAAATAATTTTTTGTTGGATCATCAAAATAATTATGTTAAACGTTTAAGCATAATGACAATATTGCAAATTTTTTTTTACATTTTAGTAATCAATTTAAATATTCTTTGTAATTATTTTGATGGCCTAACAAAATTATTTTCAGATTTACATCCAATCATTTTTATATTTTTATATTTTAACAAAACTGTTTTTTTACATGCGATTCTAAATGACCAATGTTTTGCAATCGTCTCTACATAAAGATAACAGTTTTACAGGAATATCTAAAAGGCAAGATATAGATATGAAAATAATTATTTTAGACTATCGAAACATTTATTTCGCAAAACAGGACGATAACTGATACTGCAAAAATTTTTGAATTTCCAGCAACTCAATTTGAACGTTTTGAACGTACACAATTTGATGACTGATGAACAAAATAATTTTTCGATCTATGTCCGGTTAAATTTTTAGTAAAACTGTTCTTTCCGTGTAATTAAAGTGGTCTGCCATTTCTTGTGACCGTCGAGCCTATCTTCCTCATCGATCGCCACTTACTCGTGCACTTTGACTAAAGGTAACGACATTCCATTCCAGCTTCACTCTATTACTTAGTTCACACATACGTTGTCGATTTTAACCGATACCATTTAATCCATTTGCTCTTCAGCCAAAAGCGTTGATAACAAATTCAACCCCGACTTGTTTACACCTCTATCTCGAAATATATCGCATAATGAAAATTTCTCGAGTCTACATTATTTATTAATTTTCACTAGCACTGGACAAATATGTAATAATAGACTTGCGTGCGCGCGATCGCGATGATTCCCGCCGACTGACAGGCAACGATGTGTTCACGGGCTCTGTTCGGTATTCGCGATAACTCGTTGACCCGTGTGTACCGTGATAATTTCAGTCGTGCCGTGTATCGACCATTCAATGTACGTATAATATATGTATGTATAATCGCGCATCGTCACGATGTTGCTAAACAGATAGAGGCAGAGGCTGACATAAGTGCGCGTGTGCAAACACCGCGACCAAAACTGGCTGGCGAAATTATTTGCGAGAATCGCTCCGATGACGAAGAAATATTCATCCAAAAATATTCATCAGAAAAGAAAAGAAGAGCCGATCTCAAGCAGCACACGGAGCAGATTTAAATAATTTCTAAAAATGCTGTAATAGAAAAATTTGTTAAATAAATCGAATTTTGTTTATCGAGAATCGCACCTAATTATTTCGAAAATTTTTAATAATATAAGGAAATAATGAAAGTTTTTAGGACATGCTTTTAGGACGATAAATCAGGAATTATTTTTGATGAGAGATTTTAAATGTGAGCGATAAAGACATTTCAATTTGTTATTTAAAATTCTGCATAAACATTATCATGAATCACGTTACAATCGCTGTAACATTTATATATGCAGAAATATAATCACCGCATGCAGCAGTTTTATTGAATTATCTAAAAATTTAGCCAAACATAAAACTGAAAATAATTTTATTAGACTATCAAAATTATTATGTAGAATGTTTAAGCATGGTGATGATACTGCAAAAATTATCGATATTCGATTTATCAATCAATTTGAACATCCTACATAATAATTTTGATTGTTTAATACAAGTGTTTTCAGATCTATCTGGCCAAATGTTTAAATATTTCAGTAAAACTGTTTTCCAGGTAGTGACAGTTTCAATATCTGTCATTAAAATACGGCAAAATATTTTTTTTTACAAAAAAATCCTAAATATAGAATATCTCATGTATATCTGTGCATATATTGCAGAAATATAGTCACCAATTATTATACAGAAAGAACAGCTTCACTGAAATATTTACAAATTTAACCAAATACAGAACTAAAAATAATTTTGTTAGGCTATTAGAATTATTTTCAGATTTGTATCTGGCTTTTAAATACCTCGTCAAAATCGCTTCTTCCATGATGATAGTCGTTTGATATCTCTAATTAAAATGCAAAATTCAATTTTTTTTTTTACTGAAATATCATAAATACAGGGTTTTCTCAGAGTCTGTTAAACAACGCAAATTTCTAGAAGATAGCCGAGAAATTAAACATCTCTTAAATACTGGAGATTATCCGGACTGACTATCACAAACACAATTTTCATTCGTGGATAATACAAACGAATCTCGAACGATACTCGCAACTAAACATCAGGGTGTACAAATCATTATTAGGCAGATTAATTGCTTTACTTAGCCTGATTAATTAACTAACCAAAGACGTGTAGAATGTAAATATTCGATTATTGTAATCCATCACCCTTAATTCAATCAATAAATGGAAAGTTCACGAACGTTCAATTACCTTCGATTCTCACTTTCATTTTCGAAAGGAGGCGATAAGCGGCTTCATTTTTTTCGCACTATCGCCGATCGTTTCGATCGGCAATCTCTTGACAGTGTTCATAGAAAAAATGCTTTTTTTTGTACACATCAATGCTCATACAGTGATCATATTTTTGGGATTCACGATAGTATCATTGAGCGAGACAGTTTACACTTATCGCAAAAAAAAAGTGAAACTGAAGCTTAAAAACCAAACTCATTTTCATATTTTGGTGTATACGAGAAAAACAATTTTGTTGGCAAATTTAAAAATTTAGACAGAAACAGATTTGAAAGTAATATGCGGTCGCGCTTTTAAAATTATGACATTCAAATTGGTTGCTAAAAGATAAAAAATTTTGCAGCGTTATTACGTTTAAGTATAATTTTACATAATAATCTTGATGGGCAAACAGAACTATTTTGAGATCTGGATATATTTTTAGATTTGTCAGCAAAACTCTCCGTGTGAAAAAGGTTATTATTTATCTTATGGGTCGATATCTTCAAGTGTCAGGTTGGGCACGTGAAAAAAATCGCATATTATATCACACGATGGGAAACATGCGATGATTCTCTCAAAAGAGGAGCTCGCCGATAACGCAACGCGTCATCGCGCGGCGGTCTGAAAGACGTAGATTGTCTTTCAGAATAAACTATTTTCCGATCAGTCAGCCTGTGGTCTAGGGGTACGATTAAAGGGGTACTAATCCGCGAATACGCGTATATGAGTATTCGAGACTGCATGCTGATTTTCGTTTTTTCCGGAGAGATTTTTACGGTCAAAGTTCAGCGGAGGCAGGGGGACGGGGGCGCGGCGGCCGGGCCGAATTTTCGGGCGCGTTTTTGATGCGAATATTAATCAGAATGACGTCGACAGGCCTTGATCGAGGGAGAAAAATGATCGCGCGTCGACGATAACGTTATCAACGGCGGGGCGTACGTCGTTGCCGCTCGCTATCAGGTGTAACGGACGCGTACGTTGCATGCCTCCGCAGTTCGAGGGCCGTTGCGTGATTACTAGGCCGTGCGTCGTGATGGCACATAAACATTTCCGTGGGAGAATGACACTGAAAATTAACGATGACGGTTTCGGAACCGTGCGGCAGGAGCGCGGTGCCGAAGCGCTCGAACGAAAATTTCTATTTATAAAATACGAGAGCTAAAGTCACGCGAAACGATCTGTTTCGCATCAATCTTTGAAATTCGCTCGAATCGTGTAAAACAAGACCGGAAGGATACGCATGGTCTGAAATTCATTTATAAAGCCCCGGGATAGCTTTTTTTTCTCCCCTCCGACGGAATAAAATCGAACCGGCTAAATCCGTGCGACTGCTTCCGAGTGATGAATTCATGTTTTACATTTCTCGTTATACTGCTGGATACACTCAAATGTGCTCAGTATTTATTGAATATTAATTACGGATTTTCATATTACAAGTTATTTTTACGATATCCGATATTCGTTGACGTTTTATGTTTAGAAAAGTAGAAAATTGCTTTGTGCGCGCGCGCGCGCGTCAGCAGGTACGCAATTTTCTGCTTCGTAATCCCGATTACTCTAATCTTGCCGTATCAAATAGGAAAATCGCATTGATTTTTATAGCGATAAGGTGAATTAGATCGAATGTGATCATTGTGTGAGAAATCGCGTGTTTTGCGATTAAAACGGGGCAAGAGAGGAAGAACAGAGTTGAATTACAGCGAAGGACGTGGAGTTTTATCAACGCAGTTGGATAATCATTCACTTCTCAATACAATATCTGAGATCGCTTCCGCGAATTATATTTCTCTTGATAATCCAGTTTACTCGATAGTTTATAGGCACTTCATGTATATATAACTAAATTTTATATTTCATTATCCGCTTTATATTTCATTAACCAACTTTGCGAATTTGAAATGTCATATTTGTCATTCGTAAACAGTTGGTTGGTTTTCAATGCCGTTTTTGAACATACGAGATCAAAATCAATTATTTCGTTTTTTGTTGATAGTTTTTACGATCGCGCCTTATAAAAATTTGCTGAATTAAAAACAGTCGAACGGAAGTTTAGTTTATTATGAAATATAAAATTGCTGATCCCTTTGTTATAATAATTAACCGAAAGAACTCTTCGGTTTTTTTTTCAGTTTTATTTATTTTATCAATTAATTTATTTTATCAAATAAATTAATTTTATCAAGAATTAGGGCGTGTGACATATTAAAGAATCCACTTCTTTCTTTCGATGCGATTAAGTTGAGGAAAATATAAAAATTGTGGCAAATTCAATCTAGAAAACAGTCGTTTGATTGTTTATTACGGAATTGTTTATCTTGTACGGATTATCTTATTTTCTAAATGA